AGGTTCCCAAGGTGCTATGAATATGTGCTGCAAGGCATGAGGCATACTACTCCACCCATGCTTTTAATACTAAATCATATTGGTGCGGGTAACATACCAAATCTACTGATCTACTGTAGCACCAAATATGCTATAATTTTCAGACGCAACTTTATCTCCCTCTTATTTGCTAACAATATTTTCCCTTTCAGACAAGCTAAATTTATTTATTTATTTTTTTAAAAAAGCTACAGTTAAAAATGGCAAACTACACGCACGCACGCACACATGCTCATGCATAAGGCCGTAGACAAAAGCATACCAAGAGTTTGAATTTCCCTTCTCTTGTAAGCAGCAGGATACATCTTCTGAAGCAAAAAGTGAAGCATCCAACAGATTGTTGGAAAGTGATAATATGGACGCCTACAAATTGGACAATGAGACTCACAAAGGGGGCTCATTGACTGATGGACACACCAGAAACAGGATATGTGACCACAAGCTGCAAATGAAAGATAATAGAAGTTGGATTGTAATTAGAGTGAAAAAATACTAATTTTTCCTCAATGAAAATAATGCTGACTTACACAGTACAATAGGCTTGTATAATAGATCCCTGCACGATCAAAGTAGACTAAGATTTAGTATGTAAAGCCTTAAAAATGGAGTAAAAAAGCTAAAAGCCAACTAAAGTTGAATCCAGCCAAAAATAAGAAGCCCCAGGACGTCCTCAGTGTTCTCTTTTCTTTCAGTCTTTCTGTTTTCAGAGGGTTGAGGGGCGTACTTTTTAAATTTGAAATGAGTGATTAATACTAAGAGAACCTCAATAAGTCCAAACCGGACTAATTTTGTCGTCAAAGCTTTGCATGCTCAGCTGAAGAGAGGGGCATACAGGGACTTGGGACCAGAACTTCATTTCCAAACATGGCATTAAAATTTAAAGATTCTAACTTTCACTGGATCAGAATCGTTCCCAGTTCTTCTTCCCCTTCTAGTAACAGCATTTTCAATGAAGTGGGTTTCACCAACGCATTCATCAACCACTATTTAATTGAAACACTGGCAAGGAAAAAAATCTGACGTCCAAATCATCATCATCAATTCAACTTGATCTTCGAAAAATAACATTCCCCGGCCCTTTTCAATTATAAAAGAAGAAATTGACGTACGATATATCAACCTTAAGATGGGCTGGAAATGCTTCACTTCATCTGTCTGGGGAAAAAAAATCACAATAACAAAAAGAGACTTACAGACAAACGCAGCAAACAAAGGATTCGGAGAATTCTTCTTGTTCATCGTCGGCAAGATTTGGATCTTCGTAAGCGTTCTCCGTTCCCTGCAAGGCCATATTTCTGGAGCCGGGAACAGAGAGAAGCGTAATACCAGATGATGAGCGTAAGCCAGATGAGGTTCTGGAAATCTAATCAGGAAAAAAATATAAAAATTTAGCCTTTCAATCCTCAATAGCAAGATCTTTCGAGAGAAGCTCAAACAATAAAAAACTTACATATAGGAATACGTAGTGTATTTATATAACCATTGAACCAGGCCTGACAACACCTGGGTTCGACGTGCAGGGCAACCCATAGAATATGTTATTTTCTATTTTCTTTTGCCTCAATCCGAAGTAATCGTCCATAACCGAGGCAGCAAGGCCAAGGTGAATCCCCCTGAACTGACGTGATATCTACATTGGGGATATTTACGCGCAGCATTTATTCCTTCCTCCGGCCTTATTGCAAAAATCTCCTATTTATTATATAATTAGATTAATACAATATTTGATCTCTCATGTTTATGCTTATTTTGATTTTAACTTCTTAAATTTTTTATCATAGATTTTGGATCCTAACTTAAAAAGAAAAATTATTCAAGTTTTTATTAAATTATAAAAACAGATATTTTAGAGAAAAAAACTTGAGGTAATCAAAACTTATATTTTGAAATTTGAAGGATAAAAAATTATATTACTCCTATTTTATAAAATAATATACTATTTCATTTAAAATATTAAATTTTTTATCTAATATGATTAATTAATATAAAGCTTTTTATAATATTTTTTATTTAGATAACTTTAAATAATTAATTTTAACTACTCTTTCTTAACTCTGAAATTATAAAAACTATTGAGAGTATGTATCACAAAATTCGACATCGGACCGGTTCACTCTCACCAGTCGAACCAAGCAGTTTGATCCAGTTTCTAGAACCACGTGGTTAAGAATTTCAGAGATAAATGGGAATTTTTTTTTTTTGGTAAGTTATAGAAAGGCTTCCAATTTTTTTTTTGAGCAGCAATTATAGAAAAGCTTGCTAGCATCTTGAAAACTATTCTCACGTTATTTCGGGGCCAAACCCAATAGAGATTTCCGATGCTTTTTGGATTATGCAATTTTATATTATTATTTTTTTAAAATTTTAATCGAATGTCTCTAAGCTATAATATAGATATATATATTAACGCAAGATTTTTTTTATACACAAAATTAACGCAAGATATGTATGTATAAAATGTAAAGTATACAGTGGACACTGATAAAAGTTTTAGATCGGTTATCCAATTTAAAAAAAAAAAAGAAGAAAAAAGTGCAAGAATTAATGCCGAATTTGCGGCCGCTACTTGTAGCTCAAGTGACTGTGAGCCCAGAGCATTGATGAAGGGTGTAATGGTAACTACCCTAGGCTTCTGGCTAGATTCAATTCTTAACAGAAGAATTAAATAACTGTTTTATGAATATTAAAAAAATTAATAAAAACAGAAATCAAGTTAAATTGAGTTTTATATTTAAAACCAAATTAAATTTTTAATTAATTTTTATATTCAGCGGAGGTACTTATTATAAATCATTTAAAGGAGAAATTTTTCGTTTTAAATATAAGCCATTAGTATGATATTTAATAATTATTTTTCAATTTTATTCTTATCTAATTTTCACTAAAAAGAGGGGAAGCACAATGCTGTGGAAATGATTGGTAAATATAGGTAGAAAACAAATTTAATAAAAATAAATTTAAAATTTTTTATTAATTTAATGCAAAAACATAAAATATAATGATAAAAACCGGAAAAGTATGATGACAAAAAAAGCGGTTGAACTTGCGGCGGGCGGATCCCGGCTTCATCCTGTTCAAGTGAAAGTGGCGTCGCACTGTGTAGGGAGGGCACGTACCAACAAAAAGAAATACCCCTCCGATTTTAAATAAAAGACTCTTTTTATAGTGTAATTTACACTATAAAAATAGTCTTATATTTAGGATCGGAGGAGTATTTGGGTGACCCGAGGATCAAATCAACTGGTTGGGACTGTTTTAACTTAACCATGGGTCTCATATTCGAGAAGTGAGAATGTAGTATCTTAGGAGTTAGGAGCACTAATCTTAATGGTTTTTGTCATGCCTCGATTTGGATTCGTCTAAGCTCATTGTTATACATGTAAGATGGCCTAACTCAGGATACCGGGTGCTTATGTAAAAAAGAAGAAGTATTGTGGTGTTTTTTCTTTTAAAATTAAAATATTCTCACGTTTAAAACTCAATCCAAACATCCTCCAAATCTTGAGGCTAATATCTTCTTTCTTGTCTCCACTTTTCGAGGGTGAGACGAATGAAGATCCTATCATCCCAAGGCCAAACCAATTACGTTTCCTGGTCTTCTCCATATTCAAAACTCGGAAGCCACTTTTCTGTTATGGGGCGGTTAATAGAATTATCTATCCTACTGTTAATTCTCTTCCAAAATTTATGTGAAGTTAGTCGAATATGACTCATATTTTGAATACATTATTGGGAGTTGGGTTTTGTTATAGATAAAATATAATATCTTAATTAACTTTATTTCTTATAACTATCACTTTTCTTATAAACTAATTTATTTAATTTATAAATTGATGTACTCTGAGTATAATATAATTTTACATAAACATTTTATAAAGATGATATCACATTTGTTATAATTAACTATTTTATATATTTTTTTAATTTACTTATATCAATTAATAAGCGACTTTTCTACTAAGAGAGAGTTTGGATTAACTTTTTAAAAGTGATTTTATAATATACCAAGTAAGTATGTAAAAAAGTTGTCTCAATTTATGTAAAAATACTTTTTAAAGTGCTTTTAAGAATTATTTGGAGTTGCGATCTGCAAGTATTTATAAATACATTTACATAAGTCAAGATAAAATTCTTTTCATATTTAATAAATAATGATAGAAAAGTTTATAAGCCATTTCAAAGCAAAATTGTATAGAGTGAATTATGTTTGTGTAACAGGAGCATCCGAGCATGTAATCAGATAAAAAGTAATTGTGTCAAACAATTATTATCAATGTTTGTTGTTTATACCTTTACTTTATCAAATGGTCAATCAATCGACATCATCAAGATTGAAAATAATATCAATATCAATAACTTTGACCAATATAAGTTATGAAGGGAAAGGAAAAGAGAGTCTGAACTCAAAAAAAAAAAAAAAAACCAATATCCCTAAAATAACTTTGACTAATTAATAAAGCCTTTTGGGAACTATCATGTTAAGCATCTTACCTATTCGGTTTTTATATTAAGTTTTTTGACGGTTCAATAGTCATAAAATGTGGGGGAAAAAATAAATTACACATGCTATTTCAAAATTTATATTTTTATACCATTATTTAAATATATCATATGCTTCAATTAAAAAAAAAATCATATGCAGTTCAAAATGATGTTAAATAGAAGATTTGAGGACAAACACAATTGTGTTTTTAGTACTGCAAATAATAAATACCTGTTCTTCCACGTGGTCCAAGGGAACTCGTGGGCAGACAAATAATTAACCACGCAGAACATTATGAGAGCAAGGAACATCAAAGTCAAATATTCACGCACGTTGACTTTAAATTTTAAGGATCAAATCTCAATTTCGCAGACGAAATGAATTCGGAGTCTATTTATATATGTCATCCGAAGACCGAACCATAAAGGCACTGATCACAATGGTTCATCTTCAGCAGATATAATCAAACCCCATTTTTCCTGCTGTTTTGGTATGGCTGTTTCTTCAATCCTATACATTCTTCTTCTCTTATCTCTGTCTTTTCGATGTTCTTCATCTTCATCACTCAACAGTGGCTTCTCTCTCTCAGTGGAGAAACCAGAAGATGTTATCCTGTCACAAAACGGCGTCTTCTCTGCCGGCTTTTACCTCGTTGGTGAAAACGCCTGTGTATTCTCCGTTTGGTTCACCCAAACCCTCACTGTCGTTTGGACAGCAAACCGTGACCAACCCGTCAACGGAAAACGGTCATCACTTTCCCTTCTCAAAACTGGAAACCTTGTCCTCTCTGATGCCGGACAGTTCAACGTGTGGTCGACCGGCACCACCTCGTCTTTGCCGACCCAGTTGGTTCTTAACAACAATGGAAATCTAGAACTCTACGAGAACCCAATACGAGGAAGCAAAATTCTATGGCAGAGCTTTGATTTCCCGACAGACACTCTGCTTCCCGGACAACAACTGACAAGATTTACAAAGCTTGTCTCTGGCAGAAGTGAAACCAATCAATCATCTGGCTTCTACAAGTTTCTCTTTGACGACAACAACATTCTCAGCCTTTTGTACGACGGTCCCGATGTCTCCAGCAAATATTGGCCTTCGCCATGGCTTTTGAGCTGGGAAGCTGGAAGAAGCACCTATAACAGTAGCAGAATCGCAGTGTTAGATTCAATTGGAGGTTTCAGTTCAACAGACAAGTATAACTTCACAACTTCTGATTATGGGGCTTTGATACAAAGAAGATTGAAATTAGATCCTGATGGAAACATTCGAGTGTACAGCCTGCAGAATAATCTATGGAAGGTGACGTGGCAAGCCATATCTGATTCCTGTATCGTGCATGGAATTTGTGGTGCTAATAGTACTTGCATCTATGATCCTAAAGAAGGAAGGAAGTGCTTGTGTCTTCCAGGCTATAGAGTGAAGAACCATAGCGATTGGTCTTATGGTTGTGAACCCAAGTTTCAACTCTCGTGTGATAAAAATGAGTCTACCTTCTTCAAATTGTTCGATGTTGAGCTGTATGGGTATGACGTTGTCTATGTGAAAAACATCACTTTTAATGATTGTAAGGATGATTGTTTGAATGATTGTGACTGCAAGGCGTTTCAGTACACAATGGACCAGCAAGGCTTATTTCAATGCTTTACGAAAAGAGTTATGCTTAACGGTCATCATTCACCAAGTTTCGAAGGAGCGACCTACTTGAGACTCCCAAAATCCCTTAGCAGCAGTGTTTTGTTCCATGAAGAAGAAGAACCAACTCAAGAGAATGGTAATGTTTGCCCGGTGAAGCTTGAACGAGCCTATACCAAGAGACACGTCAGTAGTTTCGTGAAGTTCTTCCTTTGGTTCGCTGTCTCAATTGGGGTGGTTGAGGTCCTTCTCATTTTTACAATTTGGTGTTCTTTGATTACAAAACAAAACTCTAGTAGAAATCAACAAGGATACAATTTTCTCTCTCCTTTTGGGTTTAAAAGATTTACTTACTCTGAGCTAAAACAAGCAACAAAAGGGTTCACAGGAGAAATTGGAAGAGGCTCAGGTGGAATAGTGTACAAAGGAGTGTTGGGTGATCAAAGAATTGCAGCAATTAAGAAGCTGAACAATAACATCGTTGGAGCCAAACAAGAAGAAGGAGAATTCCTCGCTGAAGTGAGCATAATCGGTAGGCTTAACCACATGAACTTAATTGAAATGTGGGGGTATTGTGCAGAGGGAAAGCACAGGCTTTTGGTGTACGAGTACATGGGAAAAGGTTCTTTAGCAGAAAATCTCAAATCAAACACTTTGGATTGGACCAAAAGATACAACATCGCTCTTGGAACAGCAAGGGGCCTAGCCTACTTACATGAAGAATGCCTGGAGTGGATTCTGCATTGTGACATAAAGCCCCATAATATTCTTCTGGATTCAAATTACCAACCCAAGGTAGCAGATTTCGGCTTATCCAAGCTTCAAAATCGTAATGACCAAAACTCCAAAAATTTCTCAGTTATAAGAGGAACGAGGGGGTACATGGCACCTGAGTGGCTTTTTAATCTGCCAATAACGTCAAAGGTGGATGTGTATAGCTATGGGATCGTTGTGTTGGAGATGATAACAGGAAGGAGTCCGACGAGGATGGGAACTGGGACTGATGAAGACGAAGGAGCAAATAATGGGAGCCTTTTGACAAGGGTGAGAGAGAAGAGGAAGAAAACGACGTCGTGCAGTTGGGTGGAGCAGATACTGGACGCAGCCATTGTATCAGAGTATGGGGTTGAGAAGAGAAAGATGGAGACTCTGGCTAAAGTGGCTATGGAGTGTGTGGAAGAAGACAGAGATGCAAGGCCCACCATGAGCCAAGTTGTTGAGATGCTTCAGAGCCAGGAAGATGATGCTTGTTAGTCATCTATGGCGGCTTACAAATTTACATGCAAATTCTCTCCAATAATATTGCATCTTGTGATATGATAAGTGTATGTCTGACTCCATACTCTAAACATATTAATGAAGGGAATAGACAAACTGCATTAGTAGTAAATACTAACTCCGCTCCTTCATACTACCTCCGGTCCTAATTATAAGACCCAGTTGACTTATTTGAGGAGATTAAGAAAGTAAGTTAAATTAGTTATTTGTAATAAATAAGTGTTGTCATTCCTAAAATATTCTTGCTAATTAAGTGTATTGGCTAGAACTATCATTATTAGAAGGACTATTTTGGGAAAAAATGTATAAATATGAAAGACAAAATGGATTGGGGTCTTATAATTAGGACCAAACAAAAAGTCAAACGGAGTCTTATATTAAGGACCGGAGGTAGTATAAGATTCTGTTTGACTATTATTTTGGTCTTAAATATAAGATTTTAATCCATTTTGTCTATCATATTTATATATATTTTTTCAAATTAGCCATTCTAACGATGATAGTTCTAGTCAATACACTTGATTAGCAAGGATATTTTAAGAAAAACAATACCTATTTAGGATAAATAACTAACTCAACTTACTTCCTTAATCTTCTCAAATTAGTCAATTAGCTCTTATAATTAGTACGGGAGGTAATATTATCTAAACACACATTCTGTTGCCAATACGCACACCACACTCATACGCCACTTTCATACCCTCCTCATACCCATATACGCCCGCCGCACGCCACCAAGCCATATACACGCGGCCATTCATTCTTCAAGCACACACTCCACATCCTTCAATTCCATCCAATTTCACCGTCTTGAGATTTGACCATTCTTTTCCTCCAAAATCTTCGACTTCATCCCTCGTTCAACGCTCTCCCTTCTGCGACTCTATTCTCTTCTTCCCTCACATCATTCGGCCTTCACCGTTTTTTCGGTTCTGCTGCAGAATCCTCCATATCAGAACCTTCAACTCGGCCTCCATGGATTCCTCAGACCTCAAACGTATTGAAGATGCTGTTAGAGTCAAGAGAGACTAATCCCATTGTGCTTCTTGAAGATGGAGGAGTGGCATTAGGGGGTATTTAGTTTTCCAATTAATTTTTTTTTGAATTTCATTACATTTTTCTTGTGTTAGGAATATTTTTTATTTGATTTGGAGACTGAAATTATGCGTTATAATTTCTGTTAATTGGATTTTTGCAATTTAATTTGAGTTGTATTACTTGGAACTTAAATTTATATATTTCTTTTGCATTCATTAAAATTATTTTATCTAGCGTGTTGTTAGATTCTATGATTGAGATGTATTGCAATTGAGTATCTCTATGAGTATTTTTTGAGAGAGAAACGAGTTTTATTAACTCAATTTAAATTGCAGATCAAGTGATTTTTAAAGGTGGCTTAATAGTTTGACTGCTATCTAGCGTTTAGAGTAGTTAAGTGTTAAGTTTATTTGACCCAAACCGTGTTTGGGGTTGCTTTTCTTAACTTGGTGTATTATTTTACTCCTATATTTTTACTAAGCAAGGATAGCTATATTCCGTTTTTAAAAAATATTCTTATCACAGGTTTTTTAAAATCCAATTTTAAATTTTTCGTTCTCTCTTTATTAAAAATACTAAAAAAAAATAGTTTAGATTTATTTCTTATTTTCATAATTAGTTTTATTAATTGAAAAATCTTTTTCCAAACTCCTCCTTGGCGGCCTGAAAGTTGAGCACTTGTGTTCACCATCAAGGCCTATAAGTTAACAAAGATGTTGCATACTTTGGATCTTCACGTTTAAAAGGGGAGAAAAAACAAAGAACTTAATTTTACTCATGCTTCCTCAACCATTATTTTCTAGATAAACTACTGACAGATTCCAAACCAAAACAACAGCAGATGAAGTTGGGATTTTTGTCAATTCAACTCCTCAATTGGTGCCGCCAGAGTCATTCTGGTTATGTTCTCCATCAGCATCAACCACCAAATTGGGATCTTCAGGTCTAAACCCTAAGCTTTCCATAGGCAAGTTTTCAATGGAACCATCTCCTAACTGTCCAGTAACCATCTCCTCAAACTCGTGATCTGGAGTGTGCTGCTGATTGAACCGACCCGGAATCTTGCTGCGAATTTTATAACAGTCCGCACAAAGATCAAAACCAATCTTCTCCTTACAGTCTTTGCATCTGTATCTATCCCCAACAATTGGAAACATCTGAACAGACAAGCCTTGTGTTACCACACTGGAAATATGATGTTGTCTATGTGAAAAACATCACTTTTAATCACGCGGTGGGCTGGCCCGTTTTATCACTTGTAATTGGGATCACTATTATTAAGTATTTATAAGTATTATTATATAAAATGAGAAAATTTTTGTCTGATACTTACCTCATATTTTATAAATTACAATTCAAAAATTACTTTTAAAGGCTCTAAGTACTTCAATATTAGCCAAAAACTTTATCTGACAGTTCATTTTAGACTAATCTTAATTGAGTTAGATATAACCATAAAAAAGAGACAATTTCCTATAGTGAAATATTTAACATTGCCACATCTTGAAGGCTCACACTTCAAATTTCTTAAAGTGGTTCAATCTCTACTAAATAAAATCGAATACTTAATGATATGCTTGAGCTTCGCTTTTGCAAAGGCACAAGAACTTCCGGAAAACAAACACTTGCGCCCACTGATAATTAGCTTTTTCTTGTTTGCCAACGCTCACTGATAATTAGCTACTTGCCAGATTTTGCATAATGGAAGAAGATACATGAAAAATTAATTTTGAAAGCGTAAATTAAAGTAGATTTTGGCAAATTTTCATTCAGTCTGAGGAGTGCCCATTTTGTTAGCTTTATGCCAAGCATATTAGAATTCATCCTTCTGCAAATAACACCTTATAAAAATATAAATTGAAAAATATTCCTCAATTTTGATCGTATTTATCAGACGAATCACTTTGGTTACTTATGAGGGGAAACACGTGGCAGCCTAATAAAAAGTGGAAACGTTTAATCAGAAAACATGGATACCTACCTCACACCTTGGCCGAGCTTATAAGAATTAAGAATTCTGCCCCCTTGATGCAAACAAGTCATTTTATTCAATGACTTTATGAAAACCATTCCTATATTTGTTCAAGAATACTCTAGCTACCACCTTCTGATTGACAAGCCTATAAAATTCTTGATGTTTTATTAGACTGTGACCTGCCAGCATATTTTCAGAGAAGCTAACTATGTATACAAATTGGCTTGCTTCCCATGTGCATAATGTAAAGTCACTATTTTTTTTCCTTTTTTTTTAATGACAATGAAAAGGCACTCATCCACCACTGCAGTTTTACACGGAAGCAACCTGCAATTAGTTGACCAAGCTACTCTCACATCACTTTGGTCAAAACCAAAATCAACAAATTTCTAAACATGCATATTCTGTAAGCAAAGAAAAAGAACAGTTTATAGTCATTTGGAAAATCATAGAATCCAAAGATACCAAACTACAAGTGCCTATAGAACAGTTATTAGATAAACCATACGATAACATTGTTGACTCACACGTCTTCAACATTATTTACCTCTTGGGCAAACTCAAATGTAAAACAGAAAATGCCCAAACATCTGTTGCCATATACGAACAGATTGGACACTGACATTAAGCATCAAAACCCAAGTTAACAAAGTTGTCTGCACACTTTGGATCCTCACGTTTTAAAAGAAACTTGACGTGTGTAAATTTTGAAGAGAGAAACACAACTGACATGGGATTCCCATCTCATAAATAAGACCCACCAATCAAGTCTCCTTTATTTCGCGTCCCTCTGAAAATATACACTGTAAATCTCGAAACTTTAGAGGATCCTAATAATGCTTGATGGGATAGGTCAGGCAATCTACCACAGAATGGAGGGCATGTTCAGCTCGGATCTCAAGCGTCAATAAGGCTGTGAAATGAAGCAAACTCTCACGCAGGTAGTACAAATCATGGAGATATATGACTTTCCTTGCAGAAAGCCATGAAGCAAAATATTAACAATTACAAACCTTAAAACTATTTAAAAAAAATCTCAAGAACCATTTGAATAGCTCCCTGATGTTATCAGCGGTATTTCCTAAAATTATAGTTTGATCTTTTCAATCTTACAACGATGTTTAAAATTGTCACTACCATTGAATATAAACACTCTGGTAACATGCACAAGATCAAATTGTAACTAATAATAGTTTTATTGTCCTTGAGACTAATTCTGATTTTTTTCAAGGTCCTTATCTGTGATCATCACTCATGGTTCCTCAACTGTCCTTTTCCAAATGAACTATTGACTGATTCCCAACCAAAAAAAACAGCAGATGACCATGGGATTTTTGTCAATTCAACTCTTCAATTGGTGCCTTCAGAGTCATTCTGGGCATGTTCTTCATCAGCATCAACAACCAAATTGGGATCTTCAGGTCTAAACCCTAGGCCTTCCATCAGCATGTTTTCAGTGGAACCATGTCCTAACCGTCCAGTTACCAGTGTTATTATGCTATGGATCATGTTCACTGAGTTAAGCTCAAACTCGTGATCTGGAGTGTGCTGCTGATTGAACCGACCAGGAATCTTGCTGCGAATTTTATAACACTCAGCACAAAGATCAAAACCAACCTTCTCCTTACAGTCTTTGCATCTGTATCTATCCCCAACAATTGGAAACATCTGAACATACAAGCCATATGTTACCACAATAGAAAACTAGGAAGTATCAAAGAAACTGGCTGAAACCAAAAAGAGAAGGGGGGGGGGTTGGGGTTGGGAATAAAGGTGTGGGGGCATTTTGATTTCTGATGTCTTAATTTTGTTCCTTCGGCTGGCTTCTTGCCATGGGTTGTGTAATATATTTAACCCCCCCCCCAAAAAAAAAAAAAAAAAAAACCAAATCTGATATATCAAGTAGGGATCTTAAGTAATTAGCTTAGCAGGCAGCCAACTAGAATAACAATGATTTATAGATAATATTTTGCAAAAGAACGGAAAAACCCAAGGAAAGATAATATCATAACCTTAGGAATATGAAAATCTAGCTTTAACTCCAGCAGGACCAATTAAAGCCATATAAATCATACTTTTAAAAACCAAAATAAAACCACCTAGGGGTAGCCCAATTATCAAGGTTCAATATCTAATATGCCGAACAAAAGAATTATACTGAAATCTATTATCAGATAATGGTCTTTAACGGTACCATGCATATTTAGAATAACAAAATGACATATTATTAGCCAGATCACAAAAAAATTAACGGCCAAAGGATCACTAGGAGGGGCTTAATAAAAATTTTAAAAGTAAGGAATTATTACAATATTTTAAACTAATAATGGGAATTTAGAGAACTTTAAGAGCAAAAGTGTTATTCAACTACTTGTTAATGGCAGAATCCACAAAGCAACATGCACCTTGGCCCAAAAAAAAAAAAACACAAAGCAACACACACGATTAGGACAGGAAATTCTCCTCCTGCGACAGAAAGTAAAGCTCATTGTGGGAATATTAAATCAAAAGCGCTCTCTAAACGCCCTACAAGTCTGCAGTGCAAACCCCTTAGCATCATTCATGAACCAACACCCAAACAGAAGCCAAAAGAACAGCTTTAATCAGAAAAGATGGGAGGAAAGAAACTTCTCAATGAAAAGTCTAGCCATAGGCTTCATCCATACACCATGAATCCTAGCAGTAGTCTTCATCAGTCATTTCATAACATCAGGAACGAAACAAGTTAGAACCACACTGTTGCAGCTGGAACAAGATAGAGTATACAAGACCACAACCATGCTGGGTCAACAAAAGAGAGTTTCAACTAGTAACAATGCCTAACGTTCATTTCCATGCAAACAGCCCCAAATATAGACAACATTAAGAAAAAAAAATACAAGCATAAATCCAAGAAAGCAGCGACTAGAGGTTTTACCCCACAAAAATCACAACCAACTCCAACATGTACTTTTGAGTGAGGATCAGACCACCATGCTGCTTTTCCTCCTCCACCCTCGTTCAATGAACCTGGAAGCAGAAGCTAAAGAGTAACTAGGAGATGCCAATAAGATGGAATAATAGTGCTGAAGAAACACGAAAGTGAATCAAATTTCGGAAGAAAGGGAAAAATTATAAGATGGAAAATTGTTATAGATAGGTAAAGGAAAAGTAGTTCTCCGAACATTGAAATAAAAGACAGTCAAACACACACGCACACGCACACGCACACACGCACGCGCGCACATACACACGCAGAGACAGAGCAAAACGCCAGAAAAAGCCATAAACACAGCATTATCTAGTGACATAGAGACAATGGGCATGTAAAGCATCTCATACCCACTAAATACACCAAAGAGCCAAAAAAGCACACATTGCCACAAAATTTAGGCCTCTTTATTCAAACCAAGACCTTTAAAACTTATCATGACGAAAAAAACTCCAAGGTGAAGGGCACCACATGTTCACCAAGAAATTCAAACAAATTAATCCAAGGAAAGCAGATGAAAGTAAACCCCAACAATGAAGCATTAAAATAGGGCACTTCTATCCAACTTAAGTTCACAAATAATGACAATTAGGAGGAAGAACCACCTAGGCCTGCAACTCTACAAACAGGTATGTGTATTTGTTTTATTAACTACTGATGTCAAAGTAAAAGAATTGACCAAAGAAGAATTTATAGATTTCTGCATAGACTAGTCAAGCATGAACCCTACGCCCTACCTACTAAAAAAATGATAAGAATAGAGGGCTAAGAAATTAAACAAGAATAAATCTTTAATCATCCAAATTGGAGTGAATAATAAAATTAAAAATAATTTAGTTCACAGAACATTCCATGAATCAAATTCTTGAGGGGAAAAAAATAAAAAACAAGAAATACAAGAAATACAAGAGACTGAAACTCTGTCCATAATAAAATTTTGAGTGCGAATATTTCCCAAGGAAAGGGCTTTAAATTAAAGGGGAAAAAAGTTCCACATGCAAAAAAAATTAATGATTTTAGAGAAGCTATCCCTTAGGAATAAACTCGGAAGGATTAGCATGAGTAGCAATTACTAGGCTGGCTAAAGCAAAGTAGAACATCAACCAGAAGTTTAAAACAACAAAGTTGAAAAGAAGAAACTCAATGATATGAAAAAAAAAAGGAGGGTGGGGTGAGTAGAAAGGCTGGAGGTTCAAGTACTCTATGGTTATGGCCAGCATCTGAACTTATACAAGATGAGAGGAGAAAGCAACTGGAAGAGTCCATGCATCTTCCTAAACCAAGGCGGTCAATGATTTCCAAATCATAACAGTCAATTCCGCCTATCAGAACAACTTCTGTTTTCTATTCTTTAACTATCAACAATGATAGATGTCACCTTAGTTCATGAAATCTACATAATTACCCTATATTTTATGCATGGGTTATTTTTATTTATTTTGAAGGATCAATTCCCCTAGAAGCTTCTTGGAGGAAAGTTGATTTCCTTAAGACTTCACTCAACATTGTATGACCAAAAGATACTAAAACCAGGAGGCAAAGATACATACAAGAAGGGGTCTCAGGTTTATCGTTGATATGCCTCAGTTGAACAGCATCTCTTTGCTTTGCATATTCCTCAGGGAATTGTTCCTTTATAAAGTGATCAAGCTCCAAACAAACTTTTGGAAATCCTCTTGGATGTGGGAGTTGACAAATTTGGCATCTAAGCATCTCATCAGTTGAGTTCTTGATGCAAGACTCACAGTATACTGTAGAGAATGAAGGGAAAGCACAGAAGTTATACATAAACTAATTAGATTTTCTATCAATGATCTTAAAACTTTAAAATGAGAGGTAAGTATTGTGCATACATACCATGACCACAGTTAAGAACAACAGGATGAAAAAGCAGTTGCTTGCATGTTGAACACACCACATCTGCAGCTGATATCTTTTCCTGCCGGTCGGTCTGAGGCAGCATTTTTACTTGAGCAGGCGTGCCAAAATCTTCAGGAGTTCCACCAAAAACATCTTTAGAACAGATGTTTCCGTTATTTTGCTTTTGAGTTTCAGACCCTGATTGCTCCATACTTGCAGAGAGTCCGGCATTCTGCGGGTTGGAAACCAGATTTCCAGCATAGCAGGGAGATGAAGTACCTGGATGATCAAACTTGACGTCTGACGCAAGATTATCACCATCAATTTGAGGAGAGAAAGTGCCCCGTTTCTTTTCTTCCTCTGGAAAAAGAAGATATATAAACCATTGCCTTAAACTGGGCTAGAAAAAGACAAAACGAGAACTTGTCTTTTCATAATATATGCAAATGTACTTGAGAGAGAGTCACAGCAAGGGGGGAACCAAAGTTTACAAACAACAGACAAGGATGAACCAAGAATCCGAATAACACCAAAAAAAACGGTTTTACATGTTAAACGAAAAAGGTATACATATGACAAAAAAATTTTACATATTAAACCAAGGGTATACATGTAACGTGGAACAAAAGCCTCCAATAAGCAGAGCAGCAGAAACTTATGGATCTGCAATCTGCTTAAAAAATTAGACCTCCAGAAAGTTCTCTTCCCTGGACTTTACAGTCATCACATTCACTTCAAACATGTGATATATTTAGGTTTTCTCTTTTTGCTGCATGCCAACAAATGCAAAAGAAAAGACTTTTTGATTTGCCAAAAACTATTTTGACTCAAAAGTTTATAAGATGCCAAATGAAGGTCTATTAATAGATTTTATTATAATTTTTAACATGCCTCCTTACATAAAAGCCTCTTGACCTTAAAGTTAAGGATGGAGTAAGCATTTTGTACAATCAAGGCATTGACAGCAATAGTACGTTCTAAATTTCCATTTCAACGATAATCACAATATCTAAAACAGTTTCTGTGACCACTGACAAGGGAGCCATTATCGATCATGACTTTTAAAATTATTCTGGATAACTCAAGGTAAGAAATTATGCCCAAAACATTCAACAAGGAAAGAATACATCATACTCGAGCTCCAGGTTCCCAAGGTGCTATGAATATGTGCTGCAAGGCATGAGGCATACTACTCCACCCATGCTTTTAATACTAAATCATATTGGTGCGGGTAACATACCAAATCTACTGATCTACTGTAGCACCAAATATGCTATAATTTTCAGACGCAACTTTATCTCCCTCTTATTTGCTAACAATATTTTCCCTTTCAGACAAGCTAAATTTATTTATTTATTTTTTTAAAAAAAAGCTACAGTTAAAAATGGCAAACTACACGCACGCACGCACACATGCTCATGCATAAGGCCGTAGACAAAAGCATACCAAGAGTTTGAATTTCCCTTCTCTTGTAAGCAGCAGGATACATCTTCTGAAGCAAAAAGTGAAGCATCCAACAGATTGTTGGAAAGTGATAATATGGACGCCTACAAATTGGACAATGAGACTCACAAAGGGGGCTCATTGACTGATGGACACACCAGAAACAGGATATGTGACCACAAGCTGCAAATGAAAGATAATAGAAGTTGGATTGTAATTAGAGTGAAAAAATACTAATTTTTCCTCAATGAAAATAATGCTGACTTACACAGTACAATAGGCTTTTATAATAGATCCCTGCATGATCAAAGTAGACTAAGATTTAGTATGTAAAGCCTTAAAAATGGAGTAAAAAAGCTAAAAGCCAACTAAAGTTGAATCCAGCCAAAAATAAGAAGCCCCAGGACGTCCTCAGTGTTCTCTTTTCTTTCAGTCTTTCTGTTTTCAGAGGGTTGAGGGGCGTACTTTTTAAATTTGAAATGAGTGATTAATACTAAGAGAACCTCAATAAGTCCAAACCGGACTAATTTTGTCGTCAAAGCTTTGCATGCTCAGCTGAAGAGAGGGGCATACAGGGACTTGGGACCAGAACTTCATTTCCAAACATGGCATTAAACTTTAAAGATTCTAACTTTCACTGGATCAGAATCGTTCCCAGTTCTTCTTCCCCTTCTAGTAACAGCATTTTCAATGAAGTGGGTTTCACCAACGCATTCATCAACCACTATTTAATTGAGACACTGGCAAGGAAAAAAATCTGACGTCCAAATCATCATCATCAATTCAACTTGATCTTTGAAAAATAACATTCCCCGGCCCTTCTCAATTATAAAAGAAGAAATTGACGTACGATATATCAACCTTAAGATGGGCTGGAAATGCTTCACTTCATCTGCCCGGGGAAAAAAAATCACAATAACAAAAAGAGACTTACAGACAAACGCAGCAAACAAAGGATTCGGAGAATTCTTCTTGTTCATCGTCGGCAAGATTTGGATCTTCGTAAGCGTTCTCCGTTCCCTGCAAGGCCATATTTCTGGAGCCGGGAACAGAGAGAAGCGTAATACCAGATGATGAGCGTAAGCCAGATGAGGTTCTGGAAATCTAATTAGGAAAAAAATATAAAAATTTAGCCTTTCAATCCTCAATAGCAAGATCTTTCGAGAGAAGCTCAAACAATAAAAAAACTTACATATAGGAATACGTAGTGTATTTATATAACCATTGAACCAGGCCTGACAACACCTGGGTTCGATGTGCAGGGCAACCCATAGAATATGTTATTTTCTATTTTATTTTGCCTCAATCCGAAGTAATCGTCCATAACCGAGGCAGCAAGGCCAAGGTGAATCCCCCTGAACTGACGTGATATCTACATTGAGGACATTTACGCGCAGCATTTATTCCTTCCTCCGGCCTTATTGCAAAAATCTCCTATTTATTATATAATTAGATTAATACAATATTTGATCTCTCATGTTTATGCTTATTTTGATTTAACTTCTTAAATTTTTATCATAGATTTTGGATCCTAACTTAAAAAGAAAAATTATTCAAGTTTTATTAAATTATAAAAACTAATATTTTAGAGAAAAAAAACTTGAGGCAATCAAAACTTATATTTTGAAATTTGAAGGATAAAAAATTATATTACTCCTATTTTATAAAATAATATACTATTTCATTTAAAATATTAAATTTTTTACCTAATATGATTAATTAGTATAAAGCTTTTTATAATATTTTTTATTTAGATAACTTTAAATAATTAATTTTAACTACTTTTTCTTAACTCTGAAATTATAAAAACTATTGAGAGTATGTATCACAAAATTCGACATTGGACCGGTTCACTCTCACCAGTCGAACCAAGCAGTTTGATCCAGTTTCTAGAACCACGTGGTTAAGAATTTCAGGGATAAATGGGAAACTTTAAGTTATAGAAAGGCTTGCATTTTTCTTTTTTTGACCAGCAGCTATAGAAAAGCTTGCTAGCATCTTGAAAACTATTCTCACGTTATTTCGGGGCCAAACCCAATAGAGATTTCCGATGCTTTTTGGATTATGCAATTTATATTATTATTTTTTTAAAATTTTAATCGAATGTCTCTAAGCTATAATATAGATATATACATATATTAACGCAAGATTTTTTTATACACAAAATTAACGCAAGATATGTATGTATAAAATGTAAAGTATACAGTGGACACTGATAAAAGTTTTATATCGATTATCCAAATTTTTTTACAAAAAAAAAAAGCAGAAAAAAGTGCAAGAATTAATGCCGAATTTGCGGCCGCTGCTTGTAGCTCAAGTGACTGTGAGCTCAGAGCATTGATAAAGGGTATAATGGTAAAGTAACCTGATTCTAGGCTTCTGGCTAGATTCAATTCTTAACAGAAGAATTAAATAACTGTTTTATGAATATTAAAAAAATTAATAAAAAACAGAAATCAAGTTAAATTGGGTTTTATATTTAAAACCAAATTAAATTTTTAATTAATTTTATATTCAGCGGAGGGGTACTTATTATAAATCATTTAAAGGAGAAATTTTTCGTTTTAAATATAAGCCATTAGATGGTATTTAATAATTATTTTTCAATTTTATTCTTATCTAAATTTCACTAAAAAGAGGGGAAGCACAATGCTGTGGAAATGATTTGTAAATATAGGTAGAAAACAAATTAATAAAAATAAATTTAAATTTTTTATTAATTTAATGCAAAAACATAAAATATAATGATAAAAACCGGAAAAGTATGATGACAAAAAAAGCGGTTGAACTTGCCTCGGGCGGATCCCGGCTTCGTCCTGTTCAAGTGAAAGTGGCGTCGCACTGTGTAGGGGAGGGCACGTACCAACAAAAAGAAATACTCCTCCGGTCCTAAATATAAAACTTTTTTGTAGTGTAACTTTTTGTAGTGTAAATTACACTAAAAAAAAGGTCTTATATTTAGGACCGGAGGAGTATTTGGGTGACTCGAGGATCAAATCAACTGGTTGGGACTGTTTTAACTTAACCATGGGTCTCATGTTCGAGAAGTGAGAATGCAATATCTTAGGAGTTAGGAGCGCTAATCTTAATGGTTTTTGTCATGCCTCGATTTGGATTCGTCTAAACTCATTGTTGTACTATAAGATGGTCTAACTTAGAGCCGGGAAAAACGGGCCAAGCCGTCGGGCCGGCCCTTTTAGGCCCTGAAATTATGAGGGCCGGGCTTAATATTTTCTCTTAAAATGAGAAATAAGCCTGGAGGGCTGCCCTGAAGGGCCGAGGGCTTAAAAGGCCGGCCCTTTTAAGCCCTTTTATAATTTTTTTATTTTTAAATTTTTTTATATAATTTAATGTTATTAATTTTTTACATTGTTAATAATATTTCAAATATTTAGTTATTATTATCATTTTAAAATTAAATTAGTTTTAGACAATAATTATCCAATTAAATTTTAAAAAATGGGTTAATTGGACTTTAATAATGATTTGATTTATATTATATGCGTTGATATTTTTAAACTATAATATATATTTGATAATAGAATATTTTTATACTTATAACTTGTAATTCTATAATTTGAATTAGAAATTCATGAGTTTCAACAACAATGTTCTCACATTAAAGTAAAATAATAGTTAGATTGCAAAATTTAAAAATAAAATTCTTATAAAGAAAAAAAACTTGATATTTTTGTTACGAAAGAAAAGCATACTTATGAAGAAAAAATAATTAATTATAGTGATGATGAAGTTTCAAAAGATTAATGATAGTATTTATTTATTGCACAATTGCATTATAGATAAAACTTTAGATGTTGTTATCTTGTTAATGAATGTTTAGATGTTCTTACATGTTGATGAATATTTATATATGATAATATTTTATATTTGTGACTTAATTTTATTCATATTTATGTCTTTTATTAATAATTTTATTGTTTATTTTTATATTTTTATAAAAAAATATGATAAATATAAAAAATAGTATTTTTTCTTAAACGGGCCAAAAGCCCGCGGGCCGGCCCTGGCCCTGTAGTTAAGGGCCGGGACTAGCAAATTGGGGTATTTTTAAAATTTAGCCCTGGAGGGCCGGCCCTTTTAAGCCCGCCAGCCCTGAAGGGCCGGCCCTGATTCCCGGCTCTAGT